AAAACAGTACAGATCTATAAGCCCAAGGGGCTGGGAGACCAAAATTGGAGTTCAGAGCTATGAAAACAGGGAGGGCCAAACAAGTTCCCAAAGTGATGAGAAAAACAAAGTAGTGAGCTTCAATTCAGACCTGCTTTTCCTCTAAAGGCATTTGCTAATTTAGTGGCCAAGAGAGAAATAAACCAAGTAGACATCCTCAAAAAGATTTCTATTTTGAAATTAAAATAGGGCTTTCAGTAGTCTCACAAATGCTGGAAGGAACAACAACAGAAAAAGGAATTCCTAGAAAAACACAAGTAATTCAATTGTTAGAAGAAAAGATGGAAAACCTAAATGGCACTAAAACTATTAAAGAAATTGAATCCATAACTTAAAATTTGTCCACAAAAAAATCCTCCAAGGTGAGATAGCTTTACCAGAGCATTCTTCCAAACATTAAAGGAAAAAATATCAATTCTTAATCTTACCCAGCTTTTCAAGAAAATAGAAAATGTAAATATCCCACCTTATTTTATTTTGGTATCAAGGTTCTTGATAACCATGATACCAATATAATGCCAAGAACATTATGAAAAGTAAGAATTTATGGCCAACACTCTCTCATAAACACAAATTCAAAAATTTTTTTTTTAAATTAACAAACAGAATCTAATGATACATTTTTAAAAAAAAAACACAATCGATCAAATTTACTTTATCTGTGAATACAGGGATGGTTTAACACACAAATTAAACAATGTAATTCACCACATTAGCAGAATAAGTAGAAAAAAATTCCTGAATCATTTGAATAGATGCAGAAAAAGCATCTGATGAAATTCCACATTCACTCATGACTTAAAAAGAGAAAAAAAAGTCCTTAGTAAGCAGGATTAGAATAAAACTTCCTTAATCTGCTAAAGGGTATCTACAAAAAACATTAGTGGTGATATGTTGAACATTTTCTCCCTGAGTTCATGAACAAAAACAAGGCTGCCCACTCATACCACTTCGATTTAACACTGCATTGAAGGTCCTAGACAGTACAATAACATGAGAAAAAGAAAAAAAAGGCACATGTTTGGAAATAAATAAATAAATCCATCTTTGCAGATAATATTATTGTGTACTTAAAGACTCGAAGAATCTGCAAATAAGCTATTAGAATTAATAAGTAAATTTAGCAAGGTTCCTGGATACAAGGATGAATATATTAAAAAATCACCTGAATTTCAATGAAGCAGCATAAACTATTAAAAACATAAACTTTAAATAAATTGATACCTTTTTTACAATTCCTTTGCAATATTAGAAAATCTAATATCTAGGAATAAATATAACAAAATATATGCAGGACTTCCACTCTGAAAACGTAATAGAGATAAAGATGACTCAAATAAGTGAAAATACCATATTCATGGGCTGAAGATCTCAACATTATAAAGATGTAATTCTCACTAAATTGATAAAGTCAGTAAAATAATCAATCTAAATCCTTCCACGATTTTTTTGTACATGGAAATTGTAAAATTTATTCTCAATTTTGTATGAAAACACAGAGAACCAAGAATGGCCAAGATGACTTTTAAGAACAAAGCTGAAAAACTTATACTGTGAGATATCAAGATGTATTATAAAGCTGCAATGATTGAAGTAGTGAATATGGTATCAGTGTTCAAGAACAGACAAGCTGATCGATGGACAAAAACAAAAAGTCTGGAAACAAATCCACACATATATGGTCACTTGATTTACAACAGAGGTGACAATACAGTGCAAAGAAGAAAGAATGTTTATTTTTTCAAAACTGGAACTTGGTCAATTGGAAATACATATTGAAAAAAATGTATCTTGAGATATATATCACATCATACAGAAAAATCAATTCCAGATGCATTATAAGTCTAAAGATTGAAAGTAAAAAATAAACTTCTAGAAAGTAACGGAAGAAAATCTTCATGACCTTGATGGTAGACAGAGTTTTAAACAAGACACACAAAAAAATCACTAATCAAAGTATATGACTGATAAATTGGGACTACATTAAAATATAGAGTATTTTCATCAAAAGATATAATAATCCACAGACTGGGAAAAAATTTTTTCAATACATATTAATATATGTATAAATAATATATATATATTTATATATATATAATAATATATATATAAATAATAGATACATAAATACATGTATCATACACACACACACACACACACACAAAACTACATATATACATGTTCAGAATACACAAAGAATTCCTACTTATTGCTAAGTAAAAGATAGAAAACTGGACAAAAGACCTGAGCAGAGAATATCTGGATACCCAGTTAACATATGAAAGGCTCTTGAATCATCTCATTAGTGAAATACAAATACAGTCATGCATCGACAGGATCTATTATTGACAGGTTTCTACATAGGCTTCACTATAATTTTATTGACCAGTATTGTATATGCAGTCTATCACTGGCCAAAATGTTGTTATGGAGCTCATGACTTTACTCAAACCCAAGACACTGTGACACAGCTACCAGAATGATTTAAAAGAGACACCACCAACTGTTGGCAAAGATGTGAAACAACTGGAACTTTCACACATTGCTGATGGTTAGGTAAAAGTTAATAAGACTTTTTGTATTTTCAAGAAATTATCATGCCTGTAATCCCAGAACTTTGAGAGGCTGAAGCAGGCAGATTACATGAGGTCAGAAGTTCGAGACCAACCTGGCCAACATGGTGAAACACCGTCTCTATACTGAAAATACAAAAATTAGTCAGGTGTGGTGGCACACACCTGTAATCCCAGCTACTCAGGAAGCGGAGGCAGGAGAATTGTTTGAATCCAGGAGTCAGAGGATGTACTGAACTGAGATCATGACACTACACTCCAGCCTGGGTGACAGAGTGAGACTCCGTCTCAAAAAAAATAAGAAAAAAAATATTATCTAGTGCTATCTACTTAAAGCGAACATATGCATGCATATGGCTAGCAATTCACTCCAAAATATATACCCAAGAAAAGACATCAAGAGTGTGCCAACAGCATTACTTGCAATAGCCAAAAAACTGAAAATAAAATAAATGTCCATCTAGTCTAGAATAAATACGTTGCAGTAGATTCATTCAATGGAATAATAGCTAGAATGAAAATGGATTACTGCTATGTGCTATAATATAAATTAATCTCACAGGTGAAATTTTGAAGGAAAAAAGCAAAACAAAACACATAATGGATTCAATCTATTTAAAATTCAAAAACAAGAAAAACTAAGTTGTAATGGCAAAAATCAGGAGTGACATAATGCTTGCAGAAAGCTGATGACTAGAAAGGGAGCACTGGGGGCTTTGAGGATGCTGAATTCTTCAGCTAAATGATTTATGAAATAGGGTCTCACTCTGTCACCCAGGCTGGAATGCAGTGGTGTGATCACAGCTCACTGAAGCTTGAACTCCTGAACTCAAGCAAACCTCTTGTCTCAGGCTTCCAAGTAGCTGAAATTACAGGGATGCGCACCATTCCCTGATAATTTTATTTATTTTATTTTTTGTAGAGACAGGGGTCTCATGGCCCAGGCTGATTTTGAACTGCTGTCCTCAAGTTCTCCTCCCACCTCAGTCTTCCAAAATGCTTGAATTACAGGCATGAATCACCATGTCCTTCAATTTTTTATGAAGATTAGAAAAGGAAAGAGAGAAAAGGAAAAATGATAGAGGTGCCTAACACACACCAGTCCACTCTGACTATAAGGCATATTTAGATTTTTATCAGTAATTGAGATATTATTTTAATTAAAAACTGAGGATCTTGGTGAATATAAATGATGATGAAGCCCAACATGTAGGTCAAAGAACCAATTCCTTTTAGGTAAGACGTGGCCTTCTCCTTGATTTCATATGACTGCAATAGTTACATTATTTTACTCACCAAAGTCCAGAGAATATTTTTATGGGCTACTGTGGTTTTATTTTTATGGGCTATTGTGGTTATTCCATTCATAGTTTAAAAATAAAAATCAGCTATTCGAAGGAACATTCATTTTTTTAAAAATTAGTGTTCGGCAACTACTAAATAAATATAATAAATGTATAACATTTCTATAACAAAAATGATTTAACATTTACCAATGTTTAGCCATTACTGTGACAAAACATCAGGTTTTGAAACAGCATATGACACATAATAATACAATTTTTATAGAATATACAAATACATTCATCATAATGAGAAAGATCAATAAAGATACACAACAAAAGTTAACACAGTTATTACTTAATGTTTTATGAGTGATTTTTCTTTTTTTATTTCTATTTTCATTTTACCTGACATAAACATATATTACTTAGGTGTTCAAAAAATTAATCTTAAAAAAGTACATATATTATTCCATTTGTGTATATATAAAGTTCAAAAATAAACAAAACTAATTACTAGAAGTCAGGAGTTATCTTTGGGGACATAGGTAATGACTGGAATTGGCATAAGTGAGACTTCTGAGATACTGGTAATATTCTATTTCTTCATTTCAATACTAGTTACATGGGATGTTTAACTTGTGAAAATTGAGCTGTATACTTTTCTGCATGTATGTTGTAATTCAATAAAAAGTTTACCAAAAAAATGAAAGTTGGGTATCTTTACTTCCCTAATAAAATATTTTGACAATTGCTTTGCTTTGTCTCAGATATGGCCTTCAATCTATTTTTTCTCCTTTATAGATCAGTGGTCCACATCAGAAAAGAAAAAAAACTCATCCTTAATATAGAAATATTAGTTGATTCTGAGCCCAGACAACATAAGCAATATTTTTCATAACAATTTACATAAATTTGCTTTTTTATCATTTTCTTTTTCCCTTAAAATTAAAATGTATTTTTAAAAAATCTACCTCAATGAAGGTTCTGGTTAACTTATTAGTTTAGCTAAAGAAAATCTTATGGCATAGAAATATTGTGAATGTAACTTTAAATGTCAAAAGTTTCATCACAGATATTAGTTAGTGATATTACTTATACTTACTTGATAATGAGGCTTATACCATTGCTTTAAGTCCCAATCCCAAAGAATCATCTGGAGGGGAAAAAAAGAAAACTTGGTTACAAACCAGAAATAAATAAACAAATATATGTGAAGACAAAATGCAGCATTTTCTGTTATAATTATCTAATATAGCTCAAAATCTGGAAGAGATATTGGAATGGTGAGAATAAAAATTACCTCTAGATAGAATATTTCATTAATTAATACAATCCGTAATTGAGAAATCGAAAGAATAAAGAACTACCACAGTAAAGTGACTAAAACAAGCCATATTAACCTTCAAATATTTATGACCACAAAAAGGAAAATATAAATCCAAAATCACATTGTTACTAAAAATATAAGAAAAATTACATACGATCAGATATTCTCTGCCTCCCCACCATCCCCAAAGGCCCATCATTCATCTTAAAACCACTGTCAAATAAGTGATACTATTTTCTTACCAATAAGGTACTTCAAAAACATTTTGAAAAGCTTGCTGTCCTTGGGGTTACATTAAGTATAAAGGAATGGATTTATAAAAAGCAGCCCATACCACTTTTGATACTCAGATAATTAGCGATTGTTTTCCTGTCTGTCTCCTTGATTGCCTGGGCTATCAGCGGTAACTTTAGTCCCAGGCTAGTTTTTCCCTGCACTTCTTCTTAACAAGCTTTTTGGCTGCTTCCCAATCCAATATAGAAGTCACTATGACCAAGGAGATAAAATTAATTTCAATTTAGGAAGCTATAACTGCCAACTATCATCAATTCTAAATTTCTTTGACATTTACTGAGTTCATATATAGGTCTTCTCCTTTTGCTTAAATAATTCATTGTAACAGCTATTTTGTATGTAACTTTCAAACCATATTGAATATCAGCCCAGTTAATCTATAATATAATCATATAATTTCTATATACTGAACTATTTGTGTTGTTTCTTGCCCTTCAGGCTTAAGTTTTCTGGTTGCAAAAGATCTTATTTGGGGTTTTGCACGCTACCTAAGGTCTCTATGGCATATTCTTTGCTTTTTGTTTTATAAACCTTTAAAATGAAACAAAAAAAACTAGCTCAAAGGGTACTGGCAGGGTGCTGGCAGGATTTGGTTAGTGGACTAGTTTGCTGACTCATATTTTATATAATACACCCATGCTTAATCACTCAAAAAACTGTCAATTATCATTTTCACAATCTCCTCATCAACATCCTTGCAGAAGATAATTTCTTTCTTGCTAGTGAAGAAAAATCTATTTCTTCACAAAGAATATTCAGACACAATACAATCACTTAGAAGACTCATGAACCAGTGCCCACAAAATGGTTCTGGTGTAACTACATGCAAAGTATACCACATTAAGGTATGCTCATTAAATTTAAGCAATATTTTATATGGTCCTAAAAAGATCCTGATATAATTATTTCAGGTTGTGATTTAATCAGTATATAATCTAGATTCTAGAGACACTAATTATTGCAAATTAAGATGTTAATAGCTTCCTAAAAATGCTCCTTAAGGTTAAGATAAACTAAATCCCTAAGTTCCTTTATTGTTATGATCCATTTTCCTCCATTCTATTCTTATAAATACGGCTTTTTAGACCCAACTGCAATACTTTACTTCTGCCCTTATATTAGCCTGTCAGTTTCTTTGGAGATTGAGAATGTCAACTACCCTATTCTCCATTCCTCCCATTAACATGACATCCCTAAATCTGATGTTTTCTTAAGTTCATGAATAAATGTCTAGAATAGGACAGGAGTGAAAACAAAGCCATACAATGTGTCACTAAAAATCACCTATGAGACAGGCATCAATGAATTAATTTGCATTCTCAATCTACAAACTTGCCTAACTGTACTATTATCTGATCCATACTTCTATACTTCTTCCACAATGATACCATCAAACAGAGACAAATACTTGTATACCTTATTTCCCTGATTCATTACTCTTAGTAAAATTACATAAAGGGGTAGACAATTGGGGAAAAAAAAAAAAAATATATATATATATACATATGAACCTGGGTTGGGGGTTGTAATGAAAATACAGTGGAGAAACACTGATATAAAGTAGTCCTGCTGCTTGCTTATAAGAGCAATCCCATCTTAGCTTATATGCTGTGAAATTTCCCTAATGCATTTAAACAATTACAAGGCTGCCTATGCAGAAGAAAGCCTGCTAACATGAGAAGGAATGTACACCCTATATTAACTGGACTCTCAAAGGTCTCCAGCCTGGCGCGGTGGCTCACGCCTGTAATCCCAGCACTTTGGGAGGCCGAGGCGGGTGGATCACGAGGTCAAGAGATCGAGACCATCCTGGTCAACACGGTGAAACCCCGTCTCTACTAAAAACTACAAAAAATTAGCTGGGCATGGTGGCGCGTGCCTGTAATCCCAGCTACTCAGGAGGCTGAGGAAGGAGAATTGCCTGAACCCAGGAGGCGGAGGTTGCGGTGAGCCGAGATCGCGCCATTGCACTCCAGCCTGGGTAACAAGAGCGAAACTCCGTCTCAAAAAAAAAAAAAAAGGTCTCCAAAAATCTTACTGTGTACAATGCTTTTTTTCTCTGCTTGCTCTCTTTAGATCTCTCTACTGTAGCATTTTGTATTACAATACTATAGTATTACAATATTACAGACCATCTCCCTCAATAAATTCACTCCTGCTGGCCCCTTATCCCATCATCATAGTTTTCTCTCACTTTTGCTCACTAGGCTGGCTTTGAATAAATTCTTAAGCAACAGCCCAATCTTACGTGTAGTCACTTTCTCTAGGATGAAAATTACATTACCCTAAAGCAGCAGGTCTCAGTGTGAAATCCCCTTCATACTAGGTATTGAAAACAGATACAGAGAAAGCCACAAAGAGCTAGCAGACTGCCTTCTGTGTAATTTGAACTAGAATATTAGTGATTTTGAGAAAACAATTTTCTTCATAAGTAGTAGAAGATGAATGACCCAGGAATTCCACAGTTAGGTACACATCTTAGAGCAGTATTCAAAGTGTGGTCCATAACAAGATAAATACAAAAATTCAAAGTAAAGGTTCATATAATTTTATAGCAATTTGACATTGGTGAGACATTTTTAGTGTATTTTACAAAAGCATCAATCTACAACAGATCAGGGAAAAACCCAAACTTGGTCCTTTGCTACAGTTTGACAGGAGACAAAAAGAATGCACATAGCTGCAGGGTCCAGGGAGTAGCAAAAAAACTAGATCCAATCCAAATGTTCATCAACAATAAAATGGAAAAATTTTGGTATATTCATACAATGGTATACAGCAGTGAAAATTAATGAAGTACATACAACTACATAGTATGTGGATGGATCTCAGAAACCAAACATTGAACAAGAAAAGCAAGTCACAGACAGATAATGAAGTATAACTTCACTCATTCAAAATGAAATACATATTGAGATATACTTATTAGGAATAAAAACATATGGTAAACTGTAAAGAAATTCAGGATGGTGATTATCTCTAAAAGAGAAAGGAGTAAGCCAGATCCAGGAGTGACACACAGGAAACTTCAATGTTAATGGTAATGTTCAAAAATAATAGTAATGGTGGGTTGATGGTGTCTGTTTCTTTAGTCTCTATACTTTATGCATATTTCATAAATACTTGTTTGGCTTTAATTAAAAGTTAAGATGAATTTAGGAAGGTAAGGAAGTAGAGAAAGTGACTAGTGAAAACTCTTGAAAAACTGTGCTGTAAAGGCAAGAATGAAATGAAACAATAGTTAGAAAAAAATGTGGGAATAATACTTTTTTTTTTTAACGTAGTAGATTCTAAAGCATGTTTGTACTTGATAGGAAAAATCCCCGACAGTGGAAGAACTAATGACAGGATAAAGGGAGAAATATGCAAAGAGCAAATACTTAATGAAAATATTGCTAAGTGTCTCTATAATATTAGATTACATATATTTATACACAAAATATATATATTTTTTAAACAGATAAAATTTTGAACTGGGACACAGTAAGAGTATTAGTTATTATTTATCAAATTATGATGTCAGTCACTAGTTGTTCCTCAGTGTCCTGGAATATTTAGAGGGAAAAAAGGAAACAATTTAGTTTGCATATATTTCATAATTATAAAATATAAGGGTAATTTTGATTTCCACAGAAATCCTATTATTATCTTAAAAACATTATATTCTTAAAAACTGAAAAGATTCTCTAAGACCTGTATTATTCTAAAAAAGAACAATCATCTTACCTAAAGCATTTTCATGTCATTTGAATATTATTTATATCTTTTAAATTTGCATTCTTCTCATTGTGTTGCATTATATTTCCCAATCAAAAAAAATAAATAAATGGCTCAAAATTGGTTTTCTAAAGCCTAAGGTATTGATTAAAAAAAAAAAAAAAGAGGTAACATAAACAACTCAGAAAAAACGTTAAGCCTAAATCAAGAACAGAACGCTAATGCAAACAGAATATAAATCTGTAGATGTGATAATACCACACAGAGATAAAAACAAAAATTTTACTAGGACATACAACAGCAACTATCTGAAAGCTGGATTGCTTTTTGACTGGTAATTCATTTACCCTATATTCTTCTGCATGTTGTCTACTTTGAAACTTTATCAAATTGTGACATGAAGCTATGGAAAGTTTTCAAACAAAATATAAAAACCTCTTTGGTAAATGAATACACTTTTTCTAGAATAAGCACAAAATACTTTCATACATGAAACTGAAGATTTTTGTTCCTAAAAGAGACAAAAACTACACAGACACCATTCAGATTCGATGCTCTGCATAGCAAGAGCATAAAAAAAGATAGACCATTGCTAAGAGATTTATAAACTATCAGCCACACAAATGATAAACATTATGTTGAAAGAAAGAACAGGTACTTTACTGCTGGATAAATGCACTGAAGTACAGAGTCCAAATCAGCTCTTGGTTTATGTGTAATATACATGAGGAAATAGCAGACAACTTTTTATGCATTTACCTCTGAAAAACACATACTACAAAAGGTGATTTTTTTCCTACTTAATATTTATTTTG